GCGGGACGTTCCTTCGCGCGATCGGCACCGCTACCGTTGTGCGGGTTTTTGGGAGGATTGCTACGCGTGCCAGCTGCTGGAATAGTCTCCGGTTTACCCGTGCATGGCTTCAGCAGCAGCCTCTTGGGACTTCGCGGTTTTACATAGGTGAACGGATCTGGCGAACGAACGTCTGACGGTACCATACTGTACAATCTCCTGGGATCCTCGAATCTCGCTGAATAACACGGCCTGGAGAATTGTTGCACGACGCGTGACGACAACGTCGGCGCCGGCAGCATCGCGCATCGTCTGCGATCAAATTCTGCTTCCACTTGACGGATCTTATTCTGAACGTTGCTCAACCGAGTCTCCGCGATCGCACGTTGCGATCGGTACGGTGCAAAGTTTACATTCACTCGCTCATCGCACTCTTTCTGGCGTAACGCCGATAGGAAGTCCCGCAGCTCGGCGTCAGATTTGAGAGCGAGGACCGTCGGATCTATGAGATCGGTCGTCACCTTGATACAGAAAGAAAAGTATGTATAAAAATTTTATAGATATGCCTGAGTTCGAATATTACTTCAAAAATAATATCGGTAATAAAGTCATAGTGACATGCGAATGTTCGCTTTGCCACAGTTGATGTCGCTATGACGTCATTATGAAGCTTATGACATACATATAGTGTTTTCGGCCCGATCGGGTTTGCATCAACCTGGGTTGGATTAATCTTTTCTATTGGTTGACGTTACATGCTCTACCAATAGAAGAGCACAAAACGCCATTAATTCAACCCAGGTTGGTGCAAATTCGATCGGGCCGAAAACGCTATACTATTAAGATAATAATATATGATATTACCGTGATCTTTTGATCATCTCACAATGGACGCATTCAGGACTCAACAGTTGAGTGAGTGCTCGCTGTTATTAGTGGGTGCATCCAGAAGCACGACCACTCACTAAGCGCTCAGTGAGCTCTTACATCTGATTGGCATATTCCATTAGATAATATATTCTAAAAATATAGAACCAAACAGGTACAAGAGCTCACTGAGCGCTCATTAAGCGGTCGTGTTTCTGGATGCACCTAGTGTATTCTTTTAGATCGCTCAATCAGAATTTTAGATAGAAAGAATTCTAGAAGGAATTTTAGAAGAATACATCGCTTGCTTTCCAGCAAGGACATAGTCAGACACTGTGTAACACAGTGAGTCGTTTCATCCTTGTTGTTTGCCAACGTTAAACAAGGATGAAACGACTCACTGTATTACACAATGTCTGATTGGGTGCTTTCCAGCAAGGACATAGTCAGACACTGTGTAACACAGTGAGTCGTTTCATCCTTGTTACTTGCCAATGTTAAACAAGGATGAAACGACTCACTGTGTTA